CCTCAGCCTCCCAAAGCGCTGGGATTACAGACTGAGCCACTGAGACTGGCTTGTTTTTTTATTTTAAGTAATGAAAATGTTCTACATTCAACCTAAAGAAAAGTCAATCTAAAATTTATTGCTGGCCAGACATGGTGGCTCAAACCTGTAATCCCAGCACTTTGGGAGGCTGAGGTGAGGAGGATTGCTTGAGCCCAGGAGTTCAAGACCAGTGTAGGCAAAATATTGAGGCAAACATTCTCTAAATAAAAGAAATGGGGCTCAAGTGATCCTCCTGCCTCAGCCTCTCAGAGTGTTGGGATTTTAGGCTTGAGCCACTGTGTCCGGCGGTTTTATTTTGTTTCAGAGATAGGGTCTCCTACTGTCACTCAGGTTGAAGTGCAGTGGCGCTCTATAGGCATGTGCCATTACGCCTGGCTAATTTCTTATTTTTTTGTAAAGCCAAGGTCTTGTGATGTTGCCCAAGGTGGTCTTGAACTCTTGGCCTCAAGCAATCCTCCTGCCTCGGCCTCCAGAGGTGTTGGGATTACATGCATGAGCCATGAAACCTGGCCAAGCCACTGTTCTGTTCTTCATTGTCTTAATCACTTTCTGTGGTACTGTTTGCAAAGACAGCCACAATAATTGCTCTAATTCCTCTACCAGTGTCCCTTTGTCCCTCCCATCAAGAAGTACAGTCTATTTACTCATCTCTGAAATCTGAGCTGGCTGTGTAACCTGCTTGGCCAATGGGCCAGTAGCAAACATGGTTCAAGCAGAGGCTAAAAAAGTATCTGCACATTGGGGCCTGACCTCTTTTTACTGCATGTGGAATTCTAAGACCATAATAAGAATGAACCCAAGCTAGCCAGCTGGAGAGGCCATGTAGAGGAGGACAAAGGCTCCCCAGACAACAGCGTACCACCTGCAAGGCATAAATGAGGCCATCCTAGACCATCCATCCCGGGCAAAACATGCCAGCTGACTGTAGCTGTAGGACTGAGACCAGCACAAGAACCGCCCAAGCTGAGCCCAGTCCAAATTGCCAAACCAGAGAATCACATGGTAATAAATTATTGCTATTTGAAGTTGCTAAGCTCTGGGGTCATTTGTTATGCAGCAAATGTTCCCTGAGGCAACTTCAACAAAATAATTGTTTATATTTATTAATAACTGCTTATCATTTGCCTTGACAGTTATTTGATTAACTCCCATGACAACCTTATAATTGACATTTTACCAGTAAAGCAGTTAGGACTCAGAGATGTTAAGTCTCTTGGCTAAGATTACACAGCAAAGGCCCTATATAGAGTCTGCCTGCACTCTCCATCCTGACACTCTGATTTTATGGGAAGTTCCACTGGTTGTCTAATCTGATTCTCATGGGGCAGAAGACTTATTTCCGGCTTAGTGCTCCCAGAGAGATATATCACTCCTGTCATCATCAAATAGTCTAGGATAGAAGTACCTGTTTCATGGCGCCTTCCCATTGCTGTAATCTTCTCTGGCTTCTGCCCACCGAAGACCATGGAGATGAACTGGATGCAATAGATGCCAATGTCCAGCAGGCCACCACCAGCCTGGGCCCAGTCTATGGCCCGGGGTATGTGGGTGAGGTCCTTCCCAAATTCTGCCCGAGCTACCCGGAGGTCCCCCAGAGCTCCTTGGGCCAAAGCAGACCTCAGAGCTTCTGAGGCAGGAAAGAAGCGAGTCCAGATGGCCTGTAGACCACAGGGGAGGAAGGCAGGACATAGAAGGGAGAGAGTCAGCCGGGCTCGGTGGCTCAGCCTGTAATCCCATGCCTTGGGAAGCTGAGGTGAGTGGATTGCCTGAGCCCGCGGGTTCGAGACC